GTATGCCAAGGTTTTAGAAAGAATGAAAAAGGAGCCCCTGGGTTTGCAGTCTGTGGGTTCCTCTCTGTCTCTTCCCCACAAATCTTCCGGTAACCCTCCTTCTTCTCAAATTTCCCATTGGCTCGAAGGCGCCCTTCATTACCTTTCCTTTCCAGACCCTTTGAGTCAACGCATGTGTACAGAACACTCCCTATGTCCAAAGTAGTGTATGAGGAGCTGGCGGGCGTCAGAGACCACAGGCAAGCCACACTTGTGATCAGAAACAAGGCAGCAAAAGGAAACCAAGGCTAGCCTGGGCTAAACAGTGAGACAACTGTTATCCCTGTACTTAGGAAGCCGAATTTAAGGAGCTGAATTTAAGGAGCTTTTCCTATAAGCTTAATCTTAAAACCTTCCAGATGCGCCCTCCCCAGTGCTGGGATTGCTCGTGTACAACACCATAGCCAACTAATTAACAGGCTTTCCCAATAACCCAGACAAAAGATGGTGATGGTTTGAACCAGGGTGGGACCAGGGGAGATGTGGAAAACTGGTTACATTATGAGCTGCAGTCAACAAGATTTGAGGAAATATTGAATACAGATTAAGAAGAAAAGAGTCTCTTATCTGAGCAAGGAGGGACTTTCCCGTTCTGATAGAGAAGGTTAAGGTGAGGGCAGATCAAGAGTTCATCCCGAGGCAAGGTAAGCTGGGCGCCTACCAACTCAAGGATGTAGTTGAATGTACAAGTCTGGCGATTGGGCAAAAAGGTCTGAAAATAGTTGGGTAAGTGCAGGAAGATAAAGACTCCTTTGAGTGGTACTCAGTGTGGGCATCTGCAGCAGTAACTGTGTATTTCCTGGGGAATGGGAAGGTGCACCTCCACCTGAGAGTATACATCATGAGCCACCCATAGAGAAGCGACCATCTACTAAATACAGTCCATGTTTGTGGGGATGCCTTCCCTTCAGTCATGTGACTTGTCTACAGACAGCACCTAGCCCATAAAACACTTACATGCCTTCCTTCTTCATCCTTTCCATCTCGACACAGCACTCATCCACTACAGCTTCTGCAATCTTTGTTTTACTGGTTCAAAGGACATCACACCACTCTCATTAACCAAAGCGAATCCTACCCTGCTTTGGCGTTCACCACGAGGACACAGTGTCTTTTCTTTATGTTGGATATTTTGCATACAAGTGAAGCAGTCACATAGGCCAAGTGTATTTACAAATAACAACATAAGCATGGGATGTCCACTAAGTCTATGCCAAGGCAGGTAGGTGTTCAGCTAAACCCGTCCCTTTAATTGGCTCAGCTGGCAAGCATGTTACACTATCTTCTTACCATAGGCTCTCTAGGAGGAAAAATACTCCAAGTCCTCCATCCCGTCCTTGCCCGTTTTTGTTATGAAAACTCTTACCCACCAGCCTGGTCCCACAACCACATCAGCCCCAAATGAATACTCAGAGACTTAATATTAATTATGAAACTGTTGGCCATTGGCTTAGGCTTCTTATTGACTAGCTCTGTCTTGATTATTAACCGATTTCTATTCATCTAAGTATTTCTACGTGGTCTTACCTTCCAGAGAACACCTGACTAAAGTCCTCTCCTCCTGGGATCCTGCTACTCTGCCTACACTTCCCAGAATCCTCCTTGTCTCCTAGTCCCACCTATCATTCTGCCTCATTGGCCAAACAGTGTTTTATTCATTAACCAATAAGAGAAACATATTTACAGAATGACATCTCCCATCATGTTTTCCTAACTTAGATTCTTTCATGGAGAGAATCTTGACCCAGGCTCAGTCCTGGCAAAGCATTGTCCTTTGTCAGCCATGTTTTTTGTTTCATTATGTCTTCTTTCCCAGTAATATCTGTTCTGTGAAATGGTAACTATTCTGTCTGGTCTGGTAAGGTCTAGCTTGCAAGCTTTTCTGGATGTAAAGAATGCTCCTTCTAGTGAGTGCCTCGCTCTTCCTGATATCTCTGGAACCAGACTTCAAGAGCAGAAATTTAGCTCTGAACCAAAATGACTTTGACAACTGTGAGCTCTTTGAAATCATCTTGAATGTCTGTGAGCTCTTTGGTACAGATCCCTCAGCAGAGCATAAGCTTTGTTTTAGTTGACTTAGTTGTCTGCCAAGCTCTAATAGACTGGCCATCCTTTTGTTCAATTCTGCAGATTTGTGGTTTTCTATGCTCTTTTTTCTTCTTTCAAAATTTCCATCTTTTCATATGATAGCCTTACAATCGGCTAATATTGTTTCTCCAAAACTACCCACATTTTGGATGTTGTGCTTCATGTGGAGAGTTCACCAAGCCCATTGGCCACCAATAAGAGAATGGCTTTATCTATTTTGTTTCTGATTTCCTTTCTGATGTTTACCACCCTTTCAGCCTTCAGAATTATAAAGCCTTTGGGGTACAGTCCAAGGATTCCCATGTTACTTGCCTATGACTAAAAGTTAATAGATAGTATATATTTGACTGATATGAAATAGCTGTTTTGAAGTCATTCTCCAAAACTCGAAGACTTCAGGTCATATATGTGTTTAACTTTATATTTTTATATAACTATAAATTTTCAAAAATTACGAAGAAATTTCAGGAAGTTTCTGTACACTGTCCACAAATTTCCCCCATCTTACAATTATTATAGAGTAACCCTAGAGCTTATTCAGACACCAATTTACCACACCCCTAGGCTCTTATATATTTGTGTGTGTGTGTGTGTGTGAGACAGAGACAGAGACAGAGAGAGATTCTGATGCAAATTTGCCATGCTTGTACCCTTGTGTAACCGTGACCCTGGTTAAGACACTATCATTAAGGCTCATGACTCTTAATAGCCGAATCCATCTTCCCATTCCAAACTCCTGGAAAATAACTAACCTGTTATTATCTACACTACTCTGTTTTTAGCTCTATAATCAAATTGTTTCAGTATTGTTACATAGATATCCCCCTTTTGTGCTACTGAGGATTGCACATGTTTGGTGAGTATTTAAATTATATCTGCAACCTTCTCTTTTTTACATGAGAAAAAAAATCTCATAAATTGACCACTCTGGGCTTGAACTTGCTCTGTAGCTCTCGCACACCTTTAACCTGTGATCCTCCTGCCTCAGCCTCTCAAATAGTAACAATTATAGGACCAGACCCAGAAGAACACATTCTTTTGAAATTAACTTGTTGGGGGTGGGTATGTGTGGTGTGTGTGTGCACGTGTATATGTATGTTCATCTGTGTAGTAATGCCTATGCATATAAAGGTCAGAGGATGACATCAGGTGTCTCCTTAACTGCTCTCCATTTCATACAGTGAGAGAGACAGGGTCTCTCGCTGAACCCAGAGTTCATGGATTCAGCTAGTTGGCTAGTCAGCTTACTCTGGGGATGCTATCTCTCTCTGCAATCACACACATGGCTAAGCTATCACTCCAGCCTGGGATTGATTTTAATCTAATCTCCTTGAAGATCATCCAAGTAATTGTGTTTATTGATAGTTTGTTCTTTCTATTCCACGGTGTGGATGTAACAGTTTGGGGTTTTGGGTTTTTTCAGTACTTGGTGATTTTTTGTTGCTATTGTAAGGACTTTTATTGTTGCAGTGTTAAGGCTTGACTCAGTGGCCTTGTATATGATAAGTAAGGCTATGGGGTTTTTATTTGCTTGTTTTGTTAGTTTGAGACAGAGTCTCAAGTAGTCTAGCCTGGTTTGGAACTAGCTATGCAGATGGGGCTGGCCTTGAACTCCTGCCATGTGCCTCTCCCCCTCCCCCACCCCAGTGCTAGGGTTACTCGTGTGCACCATCAAATCCAACAAAGGGTAGTTTTTAGTTTTAACTTTCACACTCACAAGTTCATACACACACACACACACACACACACATATAAATTTCTAAGTTTAAAAGTCTCCATTTCTCAGAGATAAAGACCTAAGATCAAAGCCACTTAGTTGTTCAGTAGAGACGGAGTTGATTCAGCTTTATTTTGGGATTCAATTATTGAAACCCTAGACAGATAATCCCACTGTTTACTCTTCCTAACCAGACAGGCACCTGTCTACAATCCAGTGAAGTCAGATAAAACGGGGTCAGACTCAATTCCTCACTTCTTAGCTGGGTGAGCCTGAATGTGTGCTTAGGTCCCGTGGACAAAACAGAGATAAAAATGTTTGGGACCTAAATGATTTAAAAGGGCTACATATGAAACAGTGAGTAGTGTCTGGTACCTCACTGTGAGTTAGTGCTAGCTCTGTCCCCAGCCTGTGACAAAACAGTAATCAAACGTTATTTCCATTTTTATGGTATTAGAGACTGTAACCTTACATTTTAGGTGTTGGAAATGATAACTGACCTTAAAAATCTGGAGAAATGAGGCTGGAGAGATGGCTCAGTGGTTAAGAGCACTGGCTGCTCCTACGGAGGACCTGGGTTCAGTTCCCTGCACCCACATGGTGGCTCCCAACCACCTGTAACTCCAGTTCTAGGGGATCTGACAGCCTCTTTGGTATGTGGTGTGGCGTGCATACCACACAGAGCATATATACACAGAGGCAAGCGCTCACACACACTTGAAATAAAAAGAAATCTTTGTTCAATCTGAATGAATATACTACTTTTGATTAATATTTCTAACCTAGTGGGCTATCTTTTTAAACTTTTAAATTATTTTAATATTTATTTATTCTGTGTACACATTGTTGAAGCCAGCATACATGCTGTAGCACATGAGTGGGGGTCAGAAAATCCTTGCAGAAACTGTTCTCCCACGTGGGTTCCCAGGATCGAACTCAAGTTGTCAGGCTTGGCAGCAGGCACGTTTACCTACTGAGCCATCTCACTGGTCCTGAGCCGGTCATCTTTATTAGCCTTGTGACAAGGTGTAATAACGTCTCTTATGAAAGCTAATTTCCCTTTCCTTCTCTCAATGATATTGTGGAAATGATCTCTATGACTCTTGGAGGCAGAAAGAAACTGGTGTCTCTCCACTGTGCTTTCCCTTTCTTCTAGGTCAGTGAACAACTTCCTGATGACCGGCCCAAAGGTAAGGAGGTCTTTGATGAACTCGGTGTCACTAGTCTTAACTTGTTGGTTGAAGCTAACACATGGTGGTTTCGTTACATCTACAACTCCCATTATACTGTGGTGTACAGCACAGATGGGGACCTGCCCAAAGCCACTCAGCAAACTGTCAGAACTCGGATGAGAACTTGGTTGTATTGTTACTGAATTTATGGCTGGAATCTCTAGAGCCAGAAAAGCCATCATCTTTAACAACTGCAGTGTCCCTTCTAAGGTTCAGGAACTGCACTACATGGCCTCTACCGGGCAGGGAAGGTATTCCCCAAATACCAATCCTTAGCTGATAGTGGGGTACAAATACCCGAATACCCGAAACTTCAACAATTATGTGAATGGGGCTCATTTTTGGAGAGATGGTTTAGTACAAGTAAAGACTGGTGGGAACCAGGGTTTGATAGAAACCAAATTTCACCCCTCCTGTTGCTGTCTGCTGACTGTGAGGCTCTGAGCAAAGGACTTCTCTCCCAGCCTTGGTTTCTTGACCTACACGGTGGTCCCTGTCCACAGGGACACTGGCACTATTAAATGAGGAAGCATATTTAGAAAGCTGGGAAAGTAGGGTGTAAGAGAGTTGCTTGGGACAAAAGGCTCCTATGCTGAGGCTAAATTTTGAGCCCATGTTCCTGTAGGCTTACCTCGTCTACTCTAGCAGTGTGGCAGCTGGCGCCCAGAGCGGTATTGAAGAATGTAAATACCAGTTTGCTTGGGACCGCTGGAATTGCCCTGAGAGAGCTTTGCAGCTGTCCAGCCATGGTGGACTTCGTAGTGGTAAGGAAAGCCTTGACCTCTCTTCCAGGAACCCTGGTCATAGCTTGGGCCCCCTCCTCCTCCTCTACATCCTTAATTTTCATCCAATCTCTTTGTTCAGGACATTGCTCTCTTCTGAGATCTTCTCCTCTCTCTCTCTCTCTCTCTCTCTCTCTCTCCCTCTCTCTCTCTCTGCTTAATACCCTCTGCCTCATCTCCAGTTGGCCAAAGGTTTCGGTCACAATCCAAGCAATACCAAGAGGTAGGTTAGGGCTATAAATCCTCACACTGCTTAGTCTCTCCTTTCTTCAGCTTAGAGAGAGGTGCTAAGCCCAGGGAAACTTGGAGACCAGGTTACCATAGAGAAGATAAATAATAGTGAGAAGGCAGCCCATTGGGGGAGCTTTTTAAGACTGCTTTAGACTTTCCAGGAGTGCATGGGGTGGGGTCTTTGCCTCCAGAGTCATCTCCACCTCTTCCTTGGTTCTTTTATAAGCATGTCATCAGCAGTCTAGCTAATCACTCACAAAATGTGTGATTGAAAAGGGGGGAAGGAAGGAGGCCAGGACTGAGAGCAGGACCCCAGAAAGGAGTAAGAGAGACAGGATAGAGCTGTATGTGATGAAGGCCTTCGAGGAAAGTAGCACATTAGCATTTCTTTGGGCTGCAACCTCTTCTTCTAACCCTCGAGGGACTTTGGCTCCCCCAGCTAACCGGGAGACTGCGTTTGTGCACGCCATCAGTTCTGCCGGAGTCATGTACACCCTGACTAGAAACTGCAGCCTTGGAGATTTTGACAACTGTGGCTGTGATGACTCCCGAAATGGACAACTGGGTGAGTAGAAATTTGGGCATGAGGAACGCAGGCAAGCGGGGAACACAACAAAAGCGTGGTGGGAACTTGGAGGAATAAAACTGGATTCTTCCAAACATGAGTTTGGAAGACATTCAGTGACAACTGCCCAAATGGAGTTTAAGGCCCTGTTCTCCTCCCCAAACCTCCTAAACTTAAACACAATAATAACGGGCTAGTATGTAGACTCAATCATTGGTCCTTCCCAAGGGGACTTTTGCCTGTGTCCTTGTCCTGTGTTTGTCCCTCGTCCCACACTTTACTGCTGCCTTCCTCATCCTCTGTCAGGTTCCTCTTCCTCTCTCAAAGGCTGAACTCTTGTCCCTTCCTAGACTTCAACCGTCTGCCCGCCAGCCACGTGTACCGTCCTACAGAGGAGCATGCAGGCAGAATCCATGTGACAACTAGTTATGTCATGAAGGCCTGAGAAGGAGATTGGCTAGGGCTGAAGGAGGACAGAAAAGGTGGCAAAAACAAATGAAGATAGGAACCAATCCAGAAACAGAGCACTGACCCAGCCTTAAGCCTTTCCCATCCCAGACTCTCCTCCACCCATCAACTTACCCCACCCAATTAGAAACAAGAGCCCAGAAGTTTTGGACTCAAAGGCTTTTCCTGCTCCTGCCTTTTCAGGAGGCCAAGGCTGGCTCTGGGGAGGCTGCAGTGACAACGTGGGCTTCGGAGAGGCGATTTCCAAGCAGTTTGTGGACGCCCTGGAGACAGGACAGGATGCCCGGGCAGCCATGAATCTGCACAACAATGAGGCTGGCCGCAAGGTGAGTCCCACAGCCCTTGGCTAGTTAGCTGGCTCCAGCCACTACCAGCTTCAACACCTTCAGAGTTTTTTTTTTTTAACAGACTACCCAATCGACTGGCCACTCCCTAGCTAGGCGCTTTGCAACTCCTCCTTACGCGCAGCTCTCTCCCCAGGCGGTCAAGGGCACTATGAAACGCACGTGTAAGTGCCACGGCGTGTCTGGCAGCTGCACCACGCAGACCTGCTGGCTGCAGCTGCCTGAGTTCCGGGAGGTAGGCGCACACCTGAAGGAGAAGTATCACGCGGCGCTCAAGGTGGACCTGCTGCAGGGTGCGGGCAACAGCGCGGCGGGCCGCGGCGCCATCGCCGACACCTTCCGCTCCATCTCCACGCGCGAGCTGGTGCACCTAGAGGACTCCCCAGACTACTGCCTGGAGAATAAGACCCTGGGGCTGCTGGGCACTGAGGGCCGAGAGTGCCTGCGGCGCGGGCGTGCCCTGGGCCGCTGGGAGCGCCGCAGCTGCCGCAGGCTGTGCGGGGACTGCGGGCTGGCGGTGGAGGAGCGCCGCACCGAGACAGTGTCCAGCTGCAACTGCAAGTTTCACTGGTGCTGCGCGGTCCGCTGCGAGCAGTGTCGCCGGCGGGTCACCAAGTACTTCTGCAGCCGCGCCGAGCGGCCGCCGAGAGGCGCTGCGCACAAACCTGGGAAGAAACCCTAAGGGTCTCCTCCTGCCTTCTTCCCTGTTCGCCCTCGGCTTCGTTTAGAGACCCCGGAAATAGAGGGACCCAGAATGGGGACCTCGCACTCCCTAGCCCAGCGATCCTGACAGGGGGAGGTAGCAGTCTCTCCACCGAGTGCCACTTTCAGACTGTTTCCCGGATTCCTCTGCATGGTCTTCGTAGCTCACTCGTAGGTCTCAAAACTGTTGTAAAATTCTACAAAATTGTTCCAGAGAAAAAGGCGAAATCAGGCGATTCTCTTCACCTCACCCTACCCTACTCCAGCTGTCTTAATGCTGGACCTGGCTATTCAGGCCAAGGAAAGAACCCTCTCAGAAGGCAGGGTTCAGGTAAAGACAGCTGCACCGCCCTCCTGGGAGCCAGAGCCTCCAGGGCTTACAGTCTAGACCTAGATCCCCTGATGTTGAGTCCTCAGGAATCTAACACTTTGCTCATTTACCTACTTGTCCTGGAAAAACAAACAAACAAACAAAAGAACTGGAACCGAGAAAGCCTTTGAATTTGGGGGAAGAGGGAACCCCAGAAACCACAGCCATGACATCAAGTCACTGATGCGGACTTTATCAGCTGAGCAGTGACCTTCCTAAACACCAAAGATACTTTAGACACACCCAAGAGATCTAGCAGAGGCTGAGGTCCACAGTGGGCAGGCTGGCAATAATTCCTGAGCACAGCAGCCATCTATCTATACCTCCTCTCCTTCTCCAAAGGGGCTTTGACCCTATGAGCCTTAAGTCAGGGCGTAGGAAGGAAAAGTGCAGTCTCCACACCTGGTTCTTAAATAGGCAGGCCCCAGAACATTGGATACTTTTCTCCATAAGTAATCCCCCTGCTATGAAACTGTTGCTAATAGGATGTTCAGACCTTGACCTTTTAATTTATTTCTGTCTCTGATACGCACTCCTCCCCCTCCCCTCAGAACCTGAACTCACAGGGATGGTGAGGGGAAGGCAGAGTAGAAATGTAACCTCTAAGCTCTCTCCTCCCTCCCACTTTGGCAGGGTACCATCTCCCTGTAGCCTCCCCTGATGGCCTAAGTAGTTAGCTTGATTTGACGGGTGGTTAATCTGCCAGGATTAGTAAATCACCCACGTAAACCTTCCACTAATGCATTCACTTGGAAGCCAAGAGCTTGCTGCTTCTGAGCCTGAGGTTTCTTTCACAGAGAGGACAGTCCAGCAGGGACTTGTTTATGAAATGGGGATCTGCTAACAGAAGAGCCAGTTCAGCCCAGACCTTCCCCATAGCGGCTCCGCCCTAGGCTAGTCCTGGGTGTGGGCACCCACAGCTCTTCAACTCTGCTTCATTTCCCTTGTCCTAACAAACGTCAAAGCCTCCGGGGCTGCCCTGGAAGAGTAGACTGCCTGCCTCTGACGTGGGCCAGTCTATGCATCTTCTGGCTCTATCAACACTGAACTGGGGCTGTCTCTCCTCTCCTTTAGGGGAGGGTATGCTTCTCTTGGTTCTTCACTTCTAGCTCTATCAGTAAAAGGCCCCCGCTTTTTTTTTTCCTCCCTCAGTTCTTATTTAAGACTTCTTAGTCTTCCAGATTATCCTTTCTTTTCCCTAACCTAGCAACAGTATGTGTCAATCCCACGGTCTCGCCCAGCAGTTACTTAATAGTGAGCAGAAGAGCACATGGCAACGCGGATGAAAATATAAAGTTTCCACGTTGGGAAGTAAAGCTGTATTTTCCAGACTCCCAGCATAAAGTTGAAGCACTGTGCTTCAAAGTTCAGGACCTTAAAGTCAGACTCTGGACACACGGGCTGTCATTTCCTTCACAGGTTGCTTTGTATCCCTGAGTGGGTATGACTGACACCCAATTCATTCCAGTTCTATAGAGGAGATATGTGCCCCCCCCCCAGTGCATTATGCCTTCATGCACTGTTCGTGCAATGAATTCTGGAGTGGAGACAGCTAACAGCAAACACATCAGCATCCCTCAGTTCACAGCGTCTTGGCTTATTCTAAAACACGGCAGCTGTGCAGACAACTCTAGAACTGCTGACTGAAAAGTAGGCACCTCTCAGGCCAGCTAGTCAAACCTTTTGCTCTACACATTTAAGCCAATGTGAGAACCCTGACAGGCTTGTAAGTTAGTGCGGGGTGGCAGAGCCACTCAGGCCCCTTCCTTCCTCTTGTGTGCTCTCGAGGGGCCCATCTGTCTCAGTTTGAGGACGGAGGTAGAGGGAGGTCCTGAGAAGTGACTGGAACACTGGGTGGGGTGAGCAAAACACGGTCTCCTTCCTGTCCCTGGCCTGTGAACCTACACATAAGCAGGGCTTTCTTTCCTTTGAAAGAATCCCAGCCTCACTTGGCCTTAGGAGCAGGTCAGTGCAAAGAGAGAAAGGGTCGTCCTTGGCACGCTGGTAGCGCGGGTGGTGGTGGGAGGGGAGGGCAGCTGGGGCACTCGCCTATTGTCGGTCTGGATTGGATGCTTCCAGTCATTCGTTTCCTTTTAATTAACCCACATTCCTGGAGGAGAAATATTTATGTTGGCTCCCATAGAGGCAATCCTCAGACTGGAAAGAAGAGGGAAGAAAGCCTGTCTTAGCAAAACAATATCTCTAAAGAGCTCAAGGAGAGAAAATAGGGGAACAAAATGCCATTAAAACAGCCTTCTACCCCCGCCGGAGTCAATGAAAACTTCATCTCACTTGTTAATCCGCCACTCCGCCCCCTTCTCCCCTCACAACACCTTTTCCGAAAGTGTTTGGGAAAAGTCTCCACAGTTAGTACACAGCTCCCTGCAGCTCAGACTTCTCCTTGTGTTAGTTCAGGGCCCCAAGTGGGGCTCTCGCTCCGGCAGCCGCTTTTTTTCTCTCCCCCCTTTAATTTAAACAAAGACTTCAGAGTTCATCAACCTCCCACTGAAATTCACAGCTGCTGAACAAACTAATCCCCTCTCCCGGCCTTTCTTCCCTTCAATGGGCTCCTGGCTTCAAAGACACTTTGGGAAAGGACTTTGCTGGGGCTCACACTGCTTCATCAATAGAAGTTAGCACACGTATTATCTGAAGAGCAAGTGGCTTTACAAACAAATACTGCCTAGCAATCCCTCCCTCCCAAACACACACATCTAGCCTGCAGGCGTGATGGGATCGACAACAGGGTTAGAGCTGGTACCCTGGCTTCACACCCAGGCCCTTTGTGCAGCTGAGCTCAGCCCTGAAGTGCTGTGGGGGAAACCCTGCAGCTAACTGTCAGGCACAGATGGAGACAGACAGAAGGACAGACAGACAGACAGACACACACCCCACACACACCAAGCACTGCAAGACAGACACTGCAAGAAAAGGTCTGCAGCACAAGTCCATGGGACTATACTTAAAAAATCATTTCCTTGGGCTGGAGAGATGGCTGCTCCTCCAGAGGACATGGGTTCAATTCCCAGCACACACCAGATGCCCTCTTCTGGCCTTTGTAGGCACCCAGCACTAAACATGGTACACAGACGGACATGCAGGCTAAACACTCATATACATAATTTTTAAAGTTCTTTTCCTCAATATTTTAGTTCTTTTCTCTCCCCAGACCTCTCTGCTGCCTTCCTACATTGCGCAGGAAGCAAGGCCTCCCTGCTCTTGAAAGGGAAGCAGCCGCAAAACAGGACCCGGAGGAGACAAGGATTGGGAAAGGACTCTGGAAAACAGATCACTTTATTGCCCTGTTGAGAGGTCAGCATGAAAATGTGACAGAGAAGGCAGACAGAAGGTAGCTGAGGGGAAGAGGGCCCTGGATCCTTTGAGAAGCCCGGCTCTGATTCCAGAATCGGGCTTAAAAGTCACAGACTGGGATGGTTTAAGGCCTTGGGCAGGCTCAGGCCTAGGTAGTGTCAAAGGTCACTCTTTGCAGCAGGAGTCTCAACCTTCCTAATACAGTTCCTCCGTGTGACCCCAACCATAACAGTATCCCCTTGCTACTTCATAACTGTAATTTTGCTGCTGTTGTGACTGTAATATAAAGATCTGTGTTCTCCCGTGGTCTTAGGCAGTCCTGTGAAAGGGTCATTAGACCCCCAAAGGGGTCATGAGGCGCAGGCTGAGAACTGCAGCTCCACAGGCTTCTACCTCATAGTCTAAACAAAAGGTGCTTCACCTCTCCCACCTAACACAGCCCACCCTGAGTAACGCTAACACAGGAGAGGTTCCATGTTTAAAGGGCCAGTTTCCTCTCTTGACTTTACTCAACACCCACACTCAATTCTCATGCCCACGACATGTTGTTCTCTCCAGATCTCTGGGGTTATAATAAATGTGGACCTTAAAATACAAAGACAGAGGCCGAGGGGAAGTACAGAGACTCAAACTCCAGAAGCGAAAGGATAAAAAGACCTATAGGATGGGTGGTTGCGGAGGCAGACTGAACTAATGACACTGTTTACCCTCTCGGGAGCCATCTGAACAGAACATCCCCTGTAAGACATTCTGTGCAGGCCCAATTGGACTGCCACATTAGGGAAAGTAAGAGCCTACTCTATGCTTTACCTCCCAGGCTGAAAGCACCTGGGGAAGGCCAGGGGTCAGGCATAAAGGGTTAAGAAACAGGCACTCAGCTGGTGTGGAACCAAGCCCCCAGCATCGTATACCTGGCAGCAAGGGTAGAGGACTGGGAGAAATGAACAGTCTGTTGAAAGACTCTCCCTTCCGGCTGCCTGGCTTAGCCCTGCAGCTTGTGTGCGATGGTGAGGACAGCCTTCAGGGCGGGCATGAAGCTGGACACCTCGCTGAAGCTGCTACAGCCCGCCACCTGGGCATGCACTGCAAGGCCCTGCTCAAAGCTGCCTGCATCCACACATCGGGCAACTTCGTGGAGCCCAGCCAGGACGTGGGGTGAGAGCTGTGGAGGGATTGACCCTGAGATCAGATGAGCCCAGCCCAGCCCCAACTGGGACAGCATAGAAAAAGGGTAAGAGGACTCGAGACCCAGACCCAAGTTCAGGAAGATGGCTCTGAGACTCGTGGGCAGAAGGGACACTGGGAGACCCACCAGGCAGAGGAAGCCAGCCAGGTACTTACTGTCCCCTCACAGAGCTTTTCATATAGACCTTCTAGGCGCTGGGTTGCCTCGTCCAGCTTCCTTTTTGTTTTCTGTGGGGAGAACAGTGGATGCTGACCCCACCCCCAAGGTTCATCCTATACAGTGCTATGAGCTATAACAGCTAAGATGGCTCCGTGCTATTTCCTTCATTCCACAGAGACCCAAAGATGGCAAGAGGCTTGCTCTGGTGACGCAGCTAGTGAGTGGATGGCAGTTTGTTTTTCTCTGCCAACTCCACCCATTTTCTAACAGCCGTGCTGTGGAAAATCCCCATGCTCTGTGGTCCTGCTATTGAGACGTGGGACTCAGGGCAGACTCCTGGCCCTCCCCTATTCCATTTGGCTATCAAAGTACCAGATAGAGCCAATATGCCCCGGACAGGAAGGGAACTGGTCTCCATCTGAGGCCAGCGTGGCCAGGAGGCGCCACAGCGTGGCCAGGAGGCGCCACGGGAAGGCTCAGACTTACTAGGTCAGTGGCAGACAGGGAACAACGCCCCAGAAGTGCCTCAAAGCTGCTCTTCATGCACTGGTGCTCTGGGGGCAGCTCCTTCTTCTCAGGAGGTGGTTGCTGGAGTTGGCAATTCGGGGATAGTGAGGAAGAACCAAAGGCAAGCTGTTCTCGAAACTCCCCTAGGCTTAATCACCAGTGACTCAAGGTCACGCAGAGCTCAGAGCCCCTTCCCCTTCTCCGCAGGAAGAACACCCTCAGCTCAGGGCCAAGTAATCTGGTTTCTATGATCTCGCTTTTCTTGCCCAAGTAAGGCTGGGAGGCGTCTCAGGGGAGAGGACTCACCATTCCTGTTCTCCTCACCTGCAGGCAGCGTTCTCCTGGGGCTCTGGGAGGAGACCAGCCCACACTGGAGGCCTGGGGCTGGGGCAGCAGGGCCTGTGCGGGCTCAGGGCCAAGGCACATAACTGGAGTTGTAATCGGTGCCGGAGGCATAAATGTCTCTGGCAACTAAGGAGATAAGGAAAAGCGTATGAGTGAATCATGAGACACTACAGGCTCTGATTTTGAACAAGAAACAGGATGGTGAGTAGGCAACTGGAAAACAGAGCGCTATGTGCTGGAGGAAAAGAGGGGGTTGCTGAGAGGGACACACTAACTTGGAGGAGAGTAAACACTGGAAGGGAGGAGCTGAATTCTTAAAGAACTAGAAAGTGGATCACTGGGTAGGGAAAGATGCAATGACCTTTCTCCTCTGGAGGTTTTCCTGGGTGGCTGGAGCAACTTGCCAGGCATCCTGGGATCCTAAAGGACAAGAAATGGGGGATTTTAGGGACATGGTCAAGGACCTTGGAAATGTTAAATCTAAAAGCTGGGGAAATTATTTTAGTTAGGCTCGGCCATACTTCCCTCTGTAGATCACTCATACTCCTAGCTGACAAAGGGTTAGGAGGAAAAGACTCCCAAAGTAGCGGTGGCAGCGGGAAGACAGGTGGCAGTGACCCCCCCAGAAGGAGCATGGAAAGAAGACCGACCTGGAGGAGGAGTCAAGATGCCAGTGCTCAGATGGATACTGGAGCACGGAGCCCCTGGCCCTCCAGGAGGGTAAGCCACAGGAAAACTGGCAGGAGAGGCTGAGGGCAGGGAGCTCAGAGGGCTGGGACCTGCTGGTCCCACTGGAGGCAGAGGGAGTAGTCTAGGAGTCTCAGGCAGGGGGGTAGAGCCAGGCTGCATGATGTCTGGGGATGCCGTGAGTGATGGAGGACCAGGAAGAGGCCATGTCCCAGAGCATCCGACCGGCTTCACAGCCTGAGCATTTTGTCCTCCTAACAGCTGTGGCTGAGATAAAGCTGAAGGAGAATAGAAATCGATAATTTATCATCAAACTTCATTTTAGGAGAGACTTAGAGAATTCCATTCAGGGAGAGGTCAGTAGCACAAGTAAAAGAGAGTGTGTAATGAGACACACGTGTAGTGACACCCGGGAGACTGAGACAAG